GATTGAAGCTGGTTCTGAAAGACAAAGAGCAGAACTTTAAATACAGAGGCTATCACTGACATTTTGACTTAATAATGTATACCAGAAAATGAGTTCTCAATTCTTGTTATGGAAACACAAACACCTTTCAGATTCTCCCTCCTTGGGATTTCAGCAAGTTGCCTCTAATTTTGTTTTACATTCTGTAAATTAATACATATTCTATAATTTTCCCATTTGAATGTTTCAGGGCCATAGTTGTGGGCCCCACCTGCTCCCCAAAGTGCAGAGAAGTGTTGACATGATGCATTTTATGTGGCAGAGCTGGACAGATCACTCTCAGAGCCTACCTCTACAAACACTGCTTTGCTCTCAACAACTGCACACTAAACTATCTCCTTCCCTCCTTTCCTCATCCCAGCCCCTTTCAAAGGTGGTTAGCCATGATTTTCCCTTGTGGCCTTTTCCTGGATGTGGAACAAAATGAGACTGTTATGAGAAAACAAACCTGAACATGAAGAAAGACTTGAAATCTGGCTCTAGTAGGTTACTGTATCTCACCAAATCTTAACTTCCTGTTCTGTAAAAATGAAATAATAAAAATGATGCTTGCCTCATAAGGTTGTTAGGAAGATTAAGTAAGAACACTTCTGAAAAATCCCAGCCATCAGTAATCCCTTCTTCTTCATCTCATCATCTCCTCATCACTAACACGCACAAAGAATAACCTGCAATGTGGGATCTGCCTAAGACATTCTGGAAGGGTACATTCTGTTCTTCCTAATCCTCTAAATGAGAATTTTGATGGTCATGGTCACATGAGTTCTACCTCTCACCATAATTGTCTGGAACAACACTTGGAGAGTTATACTTCTTATTTGTAATAAAATGTAAATATCATGTACAGACTTGTTTTGAAACATTCGTATGTTGTGAAATGGCTAAATTGAGCTAATTCATGTATGCTATGCATACCTCACATGCTTTTCATTTTTTTTCATAGTAATATGCATTAACTATAATCACCATGTTTACAATAGACCTATTCTCTCTTCCACCTAACTGAAATTTGTATCCAACAGCTCTCAATCTCTCCCCCTCCCCCAGCCCGAGGTAACCACCATTCTATTCTCTATTCTGAATGCAGGTGTTTTAGACTCTACACATAAGTGAGATCATGGGGTATGTGTCTCCCTGTGCCCGATTTATTTCTTCACATAATGTCCTCCAGGTGCATCAATGTCACAAGTGACAGAATTTTCATCTGCTTATGCTAGATAGTATTCCACTACGTTTTACCTATTCACCTCCCGGTGGACACTTACACTGTCTTCCTGTCTTGGCTCTTACTAATAATATTGCCATGAACATGGGCTTGCTGGACCATGTGGTAGCTCCATATTTTTTCAAGTCTTCCATAGTGGTTGTACCACCAATAGTGGGAATCTAATTCCTTCCGATGGTTATGTTTTGTTTTGTTTCCCCTTGGCGGAACTGAAGTTTGAACTCAGGGTTTTGCACTTGTGAAGCAGACTCTCTACCTACCGCTTGAGCCACACCTCCAGTCCATCCCGTCTTTTTGTAATAGCCATTCTGACAGGCATGAGATGGCGTGTTTTTAATTTACATTTCTGTTGATTGGTGTTGAGGACTTACTCATTACTGCTGGCCATGTGTATGTCTTCTTTAGAGCAATGTCCATGCAGATCCTTTGCCCATTTATATTGAATTGACTTGTTTCTATATTTTGGATGCTAACCCCTTATCAGATGTACGGTTGCAGATATTTTTGCCCACCTGTAGGCTGTCCCTCCCTGCACCGTTGATTCTTTGCTGTCCAAGTTTTTTTAGCTTTGCGTTTATTGCCCTTACTTACGGATTCTTATAAAAAAAGTTATTCCTCCTCGTTTTAGCAGACTGTACCAAATTGGTCCACCTTAAATAAGTCAGTGGGCATAGAACTGCTAGTACTATTTTTTCCTTTTTTTTTTGTGGTACTAGGGTCTGAACTCAGGGCCTACACCTTGAGCCACTCCACCACCCCTTTTCTTTTTTTTTTTTTTTGAGATAGGGTCTCGTAAACTATTTGCCCAGGCTGGTTTCGAACCAAGATCCTCCTGGATCTTTGCCTCGAGTAGCTAGGATCACAGGTGTGAGCCATTGGTGCCTAGCTAGCACTATTTTTAATGTCCCTGGGATCCACACTAAAGGGCCAGAGTAACTGAATCTTCCACTGCGCAATGCAAGTTCGAATTCTAGGGAAATCAGGGGGAAAGTACACCTTATGTATACAGATTAGCATAGAAGAACAAAGTACAAATCTGCAGTATTGTTTTTGTATTTGTGAAGTTAGAAGACTGTATGAATTGCTTTTCATGATAAAAGAAAAAACCGAACTGAACACTGTGGCTGATTTAACAGCCATATGCCACAATTTCAAAACATGGTCACCAAAACAGCTTTATAATTAAAATTTTTTCCCTTTAATACTTTAAACTTCAGGTAAACAAAGTTGGGTTAATCATAATCCTTGATCCATGGCACTGACTGCACTGACCTCCTTTTAGTTATCCAGGTATCCTGAACCTACTACCCCCCTACCCCCCAAAGCTGAGGTTTTGATCACGATACCATTTATTAGCTCATACCTTGCCTCCTCTTTGCAATGCTGGGGATTGAACCCAGGGCCTACAGCACTCAAAGCAAATGCTCTACCACTGAACTACATCCCAGATATTTTAAAACTTTTTATGGGGGAGCATGTTGTATATTTTGAGACTATTTTTGCTTACTACACTTCTAAAGCTTAGTGTATTTAAGACTTTTAAACGGTACAACTATTTTGCTGCTATGGATCATTAATTCTGGTTGCTGTACAATTTGTACAAACAAATCATGTTTTATTCATTTACTCATCAGTGAGGACTTACTTCTGGGTAAACAGTGCTATGGAAATTTTTTTGTACCTATGTCCTCTTTAATCTCTATGCAAGGGTTTTTTTGGTATACAAAGAAGTTTCTGGATTATAGCGTATTACAGTCCAACATTAAGAGCTAACACCAAACTTTCTGAAGGGTTAAACCACTTTTCACTCTCACACATAAAGAAGATCGCCAGGGAACCTTGCAACACTACATATATCATGACTTTACTCATTAATAATGCTTTTAGCTAGCACTTAGCTGTCACAAAGTCCTTCTCTAGCCTAAGGTCTAAGCAGTCACCTTTCCCTCCTTCCCTAGTTTTGAAGTTTTTACATTGAAATTTAAAAATTTTTCTATGTCACGAGATGGGTCACCTTCATCTTTTCCATACTAATTGTCCTATCCAGCTCTAATTACCAAGTCTCTCTTCCCTGATGTAACAGGCCACTGCTTCATTACACCGAAGTCCACTGCATGCGGCAGTCTTTTTCTGGACAAGTCTATTCCATTGGAAGTGTGTGTGGCTCTTCACGTAGTTTCACACCGAGTCCTGGCATTTGGCAGAGCAAGTCTCCACTTCCCTGCTCTTTTCTGGGATATCCTAGTCCTTCACTCTCTTACCTTATACTTTAGACTCACCTAAGTTTTTTTCAGGACTCTAATTCCCTTGAATCTATAGGCCTACTTGTGAAAAGACCTTTTTTTACTTCCTTCCTATCCATGAACATGTATGTTTATCGAGGTGTTACTTATGTCTTTAATGTTTTAAGACTGCTTCTTGAGGTCAAGAGATTGTCAATTTCCAAGGTAACTAATACTATTTGGACACTACTATTAAATGGTGCCTTCCAGTTTTCTGGTTAACTGGTATTAAAAAAAAAAGTGACTGACTTCTGAAAATTAGTGTTACACATACCTACCTAAGTAAGCCCAGTGATTCCTATTAATTTCTCTCCTAGATTTGTTCAGGTTTTATGCAAATAATGGGTACCTCCTCCTCGCTTCTTATGGCTTTCTCCTGTTCCACTGGTTAGGATCTCCAACACAATTTTAAATACAAACACAAAAAGGGCAGTCTTTATTCTGACTTCAAAAGGAAATGTTACCTTTTTTGGTAGATGCTAGGTTTTTATTTTTTGATTGATTTTACAGAGAAAGTACCACCTTAAAGAAATTCCTTCCTAATCAATCCTGATTTATGAACAATTTTTGTTAATCATGCATATTTTAAGAGTGACTATCCATTAAGATAGCCACAATAGCTTACTCTCATTTAAATTTGATAATGTGATCAAATTACCTTTACAATTTTAGGCTAGGCATGGTGGCTCACACCAGTAATCCCAACTAACTGGGAGGTTGAGATCAGGAAGATAAACGTTTAAGGCCAACCCAGGGAAAAAGTTAGTGAGACCCCCATCTCAACCAACAGCTGGGCACAGGGGTGCACACCTGTCATCCCAGCTATGTGGGAAGCATAAATAGGCCAGCTGAGGCATAAACATGAGACCCTACCCCCAAAATAACTAACGCAAAAAGGGCTGGGGGGCATAGCTCAGATGGTAGAGTGCCTGCCTGGAAAGCACTACTACACTGAATTCAAACCTCAGTATCACCAAAATAAACAGATAAAATAAACTACTGTCTTCATCTGTTTTATATAATACTTCATGTTTAAAAAAGGTTTGCTACCAAATAAGTTTGGAAACCAGGACAAAATGGTCCTTTTAGGGTCTTTTTCTACTCTACAATTCTCCATCTGATTCACTGTTTGAATCTCTTTAATCCTACCAAATAAAGAAGTTTCTATTAGATGTTAATTCAGTGTGACAGTGCAGAACAGACAATCAGACAAGGACTAAAAAAACACAACATCTCAGTCACAAAGAAGTTCTTAGCTTTGAGAAAATACCGAGGTCATCAATCCACAGGAATATAAAGTTACAGTTTGTCATCACAATATTAGTCATGAGTAGATGTGAGAGAAGAAGCAGTAGTGCTCTTAACAAGTTAGAAAAATAGAAAACTAAACTACTAACAAGACCAAATTAACTACTAGAAAACATAAAAGACAAGTAACACAAGGGAGTATTCTGGTTTTCCTTTTTATTTAATCAAAGACTGGTGGATAAACATAAATACAGCACAATTACTTCAGATCATTCTTCATATTGTATACACACAGACCAATGAACGTAATCTGAAAGAAACTTGCAGTCAGCAGTGAAATGCATTCAGCTTTTTCTTCCCTCACTCAAAAAAAAAAAAAATCAAAAACACACAAACTTAGAATCTCATCAGCACATACTCTCTTGTGACAAATGATTCAGACATAAATAGTGGGTGCAAAGAAACTCTATGCTAACATATGTATAACCTTTGTTAATGAAAAAACAGAAGCAGCCATAATGATTAAGATACATTCAGTTACTGATAAACTAGCTGTACCCAAAAGGGCATTATCAAAAGAGGAATCGTGCTGCAGAAAAAAGCTATATATACATACACAATGAGAAAATAAACTGCAAGATTAACGCATGCATGTTTAATACTGGAAAAATCACCACCCTCCAAAATTTCTCCATGTTTGTTATAAAAGCCCTCTGCACTCAACTAAAATTAAAATGATCTTAAAAGGATAATACTTGTAAAGTTTAAGTCTTTTCAGCCACAGAAACTGCAATGGAAATAAATGTTCAAGAGTCATTTTCAAAACAAAAACAAAAATCTATTCTTCTGATGACATGCATGATTTAAAGGTCTATGCAAGATACATTGCTCTACATTCCCAATGACTAGGAAAAAAAACCTCAAGTCAATTTTTAGTTTGCAGATGGTCAAAGGATTTTGTATTCCAGCAGGAGTTCAAATCTTCTGGATCTTTTCACCAACAACTACTGGATTTTCTTTTCTGATTTTCTCAGCAGCATCAGCTTTATAATTGTAAGAGCAATTGTGTACATCTGAGTAACGGTGTACACCACAGTAAACATTTCCACATCGGCATTCAAACCCTGAAATTGAATTAATACACATATGTGAGTTGAATAAGGACAAAGGATTAAGTTCTTTGGCATAATTAATGTTAAATAGCATCATGTGTTTAGGGCTGAATCTTCTAAACAGTTTAATGAACTACATTCTCAAAGTTCACTAAGACTTCTTTCTTAACATTTAAGATCAAATAACCTCTGAAGAACTGTTAACAGCAACACAGTACCCACTTTCATTTTCCTTTGCTAAGCTCCCATGGACAAGTGAACAGCTACTTTGGTTAGTGATTAAGAGCACGGGATCCTGAGTTAGGTCTGCCCAAGTATCAACCTACTTACTAACGAAGGCAAATTACTTAGCCTCTCTGAACCTCAGTTTCTGTATCTGTAATTTTGGAGCAAGTTATTTTAAGGAAAATATGAGGAATGTATTAAATGCTAAGCATACAGCAATCACACAATAAATGCGATTTATTTTTAGGGAAATGCCTGAAGAGTTGAAGCCAAAATAGAGACGTAAAAAGTGTCAATAGTCGTGTTCCCCCACATTAGGATTTTATGTTATGATGGAATTTTTGGAACTGGAGCATAGGAATCAATTATTTGAAAACACTGACATTTGACATTAACTCTCTTTACCACATTTTTTACTTCAAAAACATATTCCATAGCTTTATATAATGAAAGATAATGAAGCAAACAGATATAGACTGATGGACTGAATTAGAAGAAAATCACTGCATCTTAGCTTTTACAGTCATGATATCTAAGCTTCTGAGATTTATAAAGACTGTATTTGATGTTAATTATGTGTACGTTAAAATGTCTTATGTTTGCATTCTTTAATATATATTTAATGCAAATATATATGTAAAAATACATATTTGTTAAGGTATGGGCCAGTATACAGTATCTTTGGTATCAGACTTTAAACTCTTTCTTTTTTATCTCCCAACTCATTCCTTAATCAGATGTAATCTCCTAAACATAATTTTCACTCAAAATCTCACCTACTCTTCTCTGTCCATAAATGAGATTTTATGCAAATATATTTAGTATAATGCCTGGTCATGGTAAACAATAAACATAACTCTTTATAGCTGCAACTGTTTCTATTCATGCCCCTGATCACGCCCTTTTCTTCCTTTGCTGAGAGCTTTGGCTTGAGCTATTCTTTCTACCTGGAATGCCCCATTTCTATCAGTTTTATGTCCTGCTTGTGGCTCAAGGGCTGTCAGTTGAAACATCCTACCTTTATGATACTTTCCTTGCTAGGTCTCTACTCATCCTTCTTTTGTATAAATTAATTACAGTACTTTCAGCCCAAAATTCCCAGGACACTCTGCACTTAATGTATGTTTTTTGTGATAAATACTTTTGAACATATTCCCCCTTCTCTTAACAATAGCATCTGACAGCTACATTAGAGTAGCCAATACATACTGATTGGGCTATACGATAGCATCAGGCTCAAAAAAAAAAAAAAAACCCTAGGAGTAAACTTAAAGGAAGTGAAAGACCTCTACAATGAAAACTATAAACCACTGAATAAAGAAATCAAAGAAGACTATAGAATATGGAAAGATCTCCCATGCTCATGGATTGGCAAAACCATTGTTGTGAAAATGGCTGTAACCAAAAGCAATCTACATGTTCAATGCAATCCCCTTTAAAATTCCAATGATATTCATCACAGAGATTGAAAACTCAATCCTAAAGTTCATTTGGAAGCATCAGGCTAACTGCTTCCATGTCTAACACTGAACTTGCAGAACAATCCATGATTAGCCCCATTTTATATACAGAAAGTACTTCATAGCTCTCCACATACTTTAAAATCTAGCCTATCCTTGAAGGCAGAAGGAGCTACATCTTTGTCCTCTCATGGTTCCTGTCATAGTGACATTACTTGTCTAATACTCAAACTCAGCTGAAATAAATTTTGAAGGTATTTATTTCACATTCAGTTATTTATCGAAAACTATTTCTATTTCTTTAAAAGAAAACTAAGAAGCTTAAGTGTATCTATGCAATAGAAACTCTTATGGGGACAGAAACAATTTGAATTAAACAGTTAGCCATGCATCATTTTAAAACATTATCTTAACTCTAAACTATTTGACTGAGGCCCTTACCGGTAAGTCCCACTTTCTTCCTGCACATGAAACAGCGATTCTTTTTTTGTTTTGGTTTCTCAAGAGACTTGTTTTGCTCTTCAGATGGCTGCTGTGCTGTATCTGATACTGAAGCTGACAAAAACAGAGAGGTGGTAAAACTTAATTATTGAATAAAAGTTTGGTATGGGGTGGTAGCTGCCCCTCACATATACCCCATGGAAGTATTATACAGAGGACAACTGAGGAATTCATTTACTTATTTATTAGCATGGAAAAATGTTCATAAATTATAAAATTGTTTATAAATATGATTCCCTTTTGGTTAAATATATGTACATGTATTCATACACAGGTAGAAATTCATCTAGAATATAAAACAAGTTAACAGCAATTCTAGATGGTGCATTATAGATTTTCTACTTTTGTTTAAACTGTATTTCCTAATTTTTCTCAATTGTATTTTTGACAAAAAAAAAAAAAGCACAAACACTACTTGGATATTCCAAATTTCTTAATACTGTTTAGGGTCAGAAATATGTAATTTCTCAGAGAACAAGGATATTTCCTCATAAGTGTCCCAGAATGTTTCACAAAAAAACATTTAAAATGTTAGAAAAAAGAAGCTAATGTAAAGATAAAATGTTGCAATTAAGATAATACAATGCATTCATGTACTAAAATCAAGCCCAGAGGTACTAAGATTTAGGTAAAATTACTGTTCCTAAATCCTAGCTGATGTCCCTTCCTCTGCCACTAGCTACCATCACCATTCTGAGAACTGTTATCAGGGCCAGTCTATCACATGACCCTACAGACATGACATCTTATTCTAAAACAGTGAGGAACTTGTCATGGGTCAAGTTCTTAACTCTCCAATGTTACCACTATAGGACTTCCCCAAGAATACACTTGCTCCACCAATCTACTCTGGGAATACACCACATACCTTTGCTCACACCTTCTAAAAGCTATTCAAAAGGGCTTTCTTTTTTCCTCATTTGATCTACACTGTCTTCCTTTTTAAGATCAAGATCAAATAACTTTTCCTTATCTCAGTTCTCTGCAGCTTCTCACTCTGTCTTTAATACTCTTGCCACAATACTGGGCACCCTGTTCAATTCATACTTCCACACTGCATCCAATCACCTGTCTGAAATGAAAATCTAATGATGTCCTCTCTAATGTTTGAAGACTTTTGACAGCTTCCCATAACCCCCCATTATATTGTGTCTTTGAAATATCTAATAACTAACCTGTTCTCCAAAAACAATGATATTCAACTAAACTAAACAGAGAAAATGCTTTAATGTTAGCAACCCTATAGAGAATTTTTTTTTAAACAAAACTGTTACATAACTACCAAGACAAACTCTGAATGTTCTCTGGAAATGAGAAGACTGAAAATACATTTATCTGCTACCCATAGAAACGGTTTTACATAACTCAACAATGACATTTCACAGTACTAACCCTAAAGACCAAAAGCAAATGGTTTCTTTTTTGGGCAGTGGGGAGGTGGACGGCAGTACTGGGGGTTGAACTCAGGGCCTCATGCTTGCTAGGCAGGCACTCTACCACTTGAGCCACTCCACCAGCCCTATTTTTGTGCTGGGTGTTTTCAAGATAGGGTCTCACAAACTATTTGCCTGGGCTGGCTTTGAACCACGATCCTCTTGAGTAGTAGGTGTGAGCCACTGGTGCCTGGCAAACGGTTTCTTTTTAACTGAGGCAAATACCCAAGCTTGAAAGTTAAGGATTAGTAGGCTATCTAAAAGTTTATAAGCTAGGGCTCAAATCTGAGACCAATAATGTCAAGTACATCTCCATGAGATGAAGGTAACCTCAGCTTAATGAAACTAGTGGCTTAACAGCCTAAAGCTAAAGTCACCAAATGAATTCATGCACAAGATGAACAGTGCTCTGTAAAAGTAATTTCCCAGAAATTATTGTTTCCTCAATTTATAAATCAAGATTTAAGACCAAAGAATGCCTTATCTAATTCTAGTTATATCTTTAAAAGAGCCATACAGTTACTAAAAAGCCAAAGGACCACAATCTCATTGAACCTACAGCCAAAATGACAGTTTCCTCAGAACCAGGTAGTTTTTCATATTCAGAAGTGAGAACTGGAAATCAGTTGCCTGCTTATTAATAAATAAGAATACTGCATTATGAAAACAGAATAATGAAACCCATTAAAAACTGTTAAAGGGGGGACAGGGAACGTAACAGTGTGAATTTGATGAAAGTAATTACATGCATGTATGGAAATATTACAATGAAATCCCTTTATACAACTAATAAAAACATTAATAAAAAAGAGCAAGAGAGAAAGGACAGGTGAATGCCATGCTGATTCACTGGTATAAAAGTCTATTTGGGAGACCTATGGAATGACCTACAGGCCATGAAAAAAACTATATGGTGCTTGCTAACTTAATTTTTAATGGGAATCCTGACTAGACAAAGTCTACTGGCCACTACAGTTAAGATACTTCAAAAAATTCTGGACAGGTAAAATTAGTTTAACTACCCACATGGAGGATCACATTCAAGAGGAACAAGGCCCTCTGCTCTGGGTCCTGTAAAAAGAAAAAGAATACAAATGTAATCATAAGTACATAAAACTTCTTAAGCATTACTTCTATGACAGCATATTCATATATACTGAAAAATAAAACTGGAACTCAGATGACATTACAGGTTACCCCCAAACATTATCTTAATGTATCTAATTTGTCTTGGCAGTAGATACAGTATCTTCATAATACAAATATCCTTTCCTTGAAGTCATGACATAGTTCCTCATTAGAGAATTGGACAAGGCTTTTTTTGGTTTTGGTATGCAGATCAAACCCAGGGCCTATAGCATGTGAGGCAAGCGCTCTATAACTGTGCTATAGTCTTGGGCAAGAATTTGACTAGACATTTTGAGAATGGTGACTATTCCTGCTTACTTTTGTACATCCAGTGCTGACACACAGCAAGTGCTCAACTGGTATTTATTTCAATCACTGCAGACTTACACAATGACTCACTGGGATAAAATTCACACTCCTCTCTGGACCTCATTTTCTTATGTAAAAAGTGGGCTCAGATTGAATGAATTTTAAGCTACCTCCTAGCCTGGGGTGAGGGGGAGGGGGACAAAACAGTTAAGATGACTATTCCTTAGTGATTTTCCTTTATTTGATTTCAAACCACCTTTTCAGCTTTAGTTCCAACAATACTTGCCTGAATCAGCCACTCCAACAACTAGGCTATTCCCCAAATTTCATGTTTTCCTATCAGTACACTCTCTTCTCACAACTTCTCCAGCAAAAAAATCTCTTCATGCGTGTTCTGTCTATCTATCTATCTATCTATCTACACACAAATATATCACATATATATATATGTGTGTGTGTGTATAGATGTAGATATAATTCATATACCATAAAAATTCATCCTTTAAAATGTACAATTTAGTGATTTTTAGTATATTTACAAGGCTGTGAAATCACCACTCCTAACTAATTTCAGAACATTTTATTCACTCTAAAGCAAACCTTACACACATTACCAATAATTCCTTACTTCCCATAGCTCCTGGCAACTACAGATCTCTCTTTATGTAAGGACTGCTCTATTCTGGTTATTCCAAGGAAGTGGAATCATACAGTATGTAGCCTTTTGTACCTGGTTTCTTTTACTTATTTAGCACAATGTTTCAAGGTTCTCCACGAGTAGCATGAATCAGAATTTCCTACCTTTTGGTGGCTGAATGGTTTTCCAAGCATTTATTGATGGCCATCTAGGTTGTTTCCATTTCTTGATTATTATGAATAATGCTTCTATAAACACTCATGTGTAAGTTTTTGTGTGAACACATTTTGTTCTTTGCTTTTCTGGTCCTGAGGGCCTTGAGAATACTGAGTACGGTCCACCAATGAGCAACCACCCTAAGGCTAGGACACACATTTTCAATTCTCTTGGGAACCAGGACTGCTAGGTCATATAGTAATGCTATTTAAGTTTTTTTTTCCTTTGGTGGTACTAGGGCTTGACCTCAGGTCCTATACTTTGAGCCACTCAGCCAGACCTTTTTGTGATGGGCATTTTCAAGATAGAGTCTCGAGAACTAATTGCCTGGGCTAGAGTCGAACCGCGATCCTCCTAATGTCTGCCTCCTGAGTCGCTAGGATTACAGGCATGAGCCACCAGTGCCAGCTTCTATTTAAATTTTTGAAGAACTGTCAGATTGTTTCCAAAGCATCTGCATCAGTTTACATTCCCACAATGTGCAAGGGTTCCAATTTCCACACACTTTGACCATACTTATTACTTATTTCGCCACCCTACTGGGTGCCAAGTGGTATCTCATTACGGTTTTGATTTGCATTTCCCTAATGAGTTATTTTGGCTTGTGAGGCAGGTACTCTACCACTTGGGCAAGCCCAGCCATTTTTGCTTTTAGTTATTTTTCTAAGAAGGTCTCACATTTATGCCCAGGCTGGTCTGAATCACAATCGTCCTATTTACACGTCTTATGTAGCTGGGATGACAGGCATGTGCCATCATGCCCAGCTTTTATTGGTTGAGATGGAGTCTCATAAAGCTGTTGCCCAGGCTGGCATTACCATCCAAGGAGCTAGGATTATAGGCATGAACTACCAGGCCTGCCTTGTAATGACTATTGATGTTGACCGTATTTTCACTTGTTCATAGGCAACTTGCACATATTCTCTGGAGAAATGTCTACTCAAATAGTTTGGCTTTTTCTTTTTTCTTTGTGGTAACACTGGGGTTTGAATTCAGGGCCTTGCGCTTGCAAGGCATGTGCTCCACCAGTTGAGCATGCCCCTAGCCTGGGCCGGTTTGAACCATGATCCTTCTACTCATGCCTCCCACAAGAGAGCACCAACACACCCAGCTTATTGGTTGAGTTAGGATCCTTTTTTCCTGGGCTGGTCTTGAACCTTGATCCTTCTGATCTCTGCATCCCGAGTAGCTTGGATTACAGAGGTGCACTGCCACCATCATGCCTGGTTCCTTTGCCTAATTTTGTTGAATTGAAATTATTTTCTTATGTATTCTGATCAGATTTGTGTCTTATAAATAATCTCTCCCATTGTGGGGCTGTTTTTCTGTTTTTCATGGTATTCTTTAAAACAAAAAGTTTTTAATTTTGATGGAATTCAACTTACCTATTCTTTTTCTTTAAGTGTCCGATCTAAGAAACCAATGTCTAACCCAAGGTCTCAAAAATTTATCCTTGTTTTTAGAGGGTTTTTTTTTCTTCTTAATAGTTTTTAGCTCTTACATTTATTTAGGTCTTTAATGTATTTTGGATAAACTTTTGTACATGGTACAATGTGTGGGTCACTCATCTGAATAAAGAGGCAGTTGTCCCAGCATCATCTGTTGTTGAAAAGATTATTTTTTTCCCACTGAATGGTTCTGGCACCCTTGAAAATCAATTGCCCAAAAGTACATGAGAGTATTTCTGAACATTCAGTTGCATTCCACTTATCTATTGAGCATCAATCATGGCCAGTACTGCAGTCTTGATTACTGTGCCTTGTATTAGATTTTGAAATTGGGAACTGTTAAGTCTTCCTCAAGACCGTTTTGGTCATTCTCACTCATCCTTTAAAATCGAAAGAAATTCCTAACCCATACAAAGCTTGCAAATTAGTCCAAAGGGAATGTTCCTCTCTGATTGCTGTGAACTAATAATTTGACAATACATCTTTTATGAAGTTAAGAGCCCTCAGAAAGTTGGAAACACCCTGAGGACTCTGGTTCAGCCTGCCACTCAGTGCAGCAATTCCCCTTTGGCTTTGTCCTTAGCAACTTTGCTTCAGTGACGTACAGCTCAGCACCTTATAGGTGATTTCATTCTGATGTAAATCTTTCAAACTCTTACTCTAAGCCTCCTATAACTCTTGAGTCATTTGGACAATATACAATATAAGAATATCCTCTGCAGTTCAAAAAGCTCATTTTACTTTTCCTGTCCCAATAAATTTTAATATCCTGTAAGGTGGACATGGTTACTACTCTCTTAAAGATAATAAAAATAAGGCTCAGAGAAGTAATTGAATGGTGTCAGGAAATGAAAACAAAACTTCTAAATTCAAAGTTCCATATTCCTTTTAGGATGTATAATTCATGACTGCAGGGACGGAGCTCAACCGAAGTTAAGCACATTGTTTAATAAAGCAGCAATCTAGTATGTGACTTTGAAAGGACTGATTTATTTTTAAAGCTAGCCTTTTGAACTGGAACTGGAACACTGACCTAAGTGACACTGATTTTTTTTAAATTAAAAAACATAATTAAATGGCAAACATATTGCAATATGTTGACTTTTCATTTAAACATGAAAAAATTCTTTAGAGTACCCAGTATCAGTGCACCAAATTTCATCAAGCATACACGGACTTAAAAGCACATATGGACTCCAACACAGTAGTAATGGGGGACTTTAATACCCCTCTATCACCAAGAGATAGATCATCTAAACAAAAAAATCAATAAAGAAATTCTAGGACTAAATCACAACACAGATCAAATGGACTTAACTGATGGCTACAGAATGTTTCATCCAACAACAGCACAATATATATTCTTCTCAGCAGACCACGTAACTTTCTCAAAAATAGATCATACCTTATGGCACAAAGTAAGCCTCAGCAAATAAAAAATAGAAACAATCCCCTGCATTCTATCTGATCACAATGAATTAAAACTAGAACTCAACAACAAAAGCAACAGCAGAAAATATGCAAATAATTAGAGGTTGAATAACGCATTGCTCAACAAGCAGTGGGTCATAGAAGAAATAAAAGAGGAAATGAAAAGGTTCCTGGAAGTTAATGAAAATGAAAACATGACCTACCAGAACCTATGGGACACAGCAAAGGCAGAACTAAGAGGAAAGTTTATAGTCATGAGTGGATATATTAAAAGGACAGAAAGATCTCAAATAAATGACCGAATGCTACATTTCAAACTCCTAGAAAAACAAGAACAAGCAAAACCCAAATCAAGCAGAACAAGAAAAATAATAAAAATAAGGGCTGAAATTAATGAAATAGAGACCAAAAGAAACCATACAAAGAATCAACAAAACAAAAAGTTGGTTCTTTGAAAAAATAAACAAGATTGACAAGCCCCTGGCAAATCTGAGTAAAATGAGGAAGGAAAAGACTCAAATCAGTAAAATCAGAAATGAAAAAGGGGAGAGAACAACAAATACCAAAGAAATCCAAGAAATCATCAGAGACTACTTTGAGAACCTATATTCCAATGAACTGGAAAATCTTGAAGAAAGGGACAAATTTCTAGATACTTATGGCCATCTAAAACTGAACCAAGAGGATATTAACCACCTAAACAGACCTATAACACGTAATGAAATTGAAGCAGCAATCAAGAGTCTCCCCAAAAAGAAAAGTCCAGGACCTGATGGAGTCTTTGCTGAATTCTCTCAGACCTTTAAAGAACTAATACCAACTCTCCTTAAACTTTTCCATGAAACAGAAAGGGAAGGAACACTGCTTAACACATTCTATGAAGCCAGTATTACACTCATCCC